GCTCGGTCTGTGTGAAACCTTCGTTGTTGTGACTGTTGTGCTTGTGATTATTTGTCTGAAGCAAACATTGAGCGTCTCCTCATGGCGAGCTGGTATTCATGCTTTTAAGCCCCTCCCACTTTGCATACCTAAATCACATGACCTGTGTGTCTGGATCTTGGTCACACGAGCGTGTTAGCGTGCGGGAGCTCAGACAGGTGTGTTTAATGACATCAGCTCCTCTGCATCACGTAAAGTTATGCGTCCATAAAACCACGGCGCTCATTTGGTTTTCTCGCTAACTTCCTGTTAGCGTGTTTGTGCTTTGGATGGAAACCTTCCTCCCCCTCCTCCCCCTCGTCTCCCACACGTTCCAACATGACGGCAAAGCTGAGAGAAACAGCGAAGCTGCATCTTTCTCTCCATTCTGTTGATTTTTTTCAGATCGCTATTCTGGTTTCAGATTTCCTTCGGTTGCTTAGCAACACCCTGCAAAGTTGACAAAGAAGTGTGTGTGTTCATCTCTCCATCTTTCCTTCAGTTGACTCTGCAGGACAAACTGCTGCTGAAGCGTCGCCGCGGTTACATAATGGGTGTCTCTGCAGGTGTTCGCTAACCTGCTGGGCGGAAACGTCCAATCAGATCTCTTTAATTTCAAACCAGCAGCACGCCATCGTCACACCGCCGTCATTCGCCCGCATCACTGTCGCCTCAAACCTGCAACAGGAAACATGACATTAATGTAGGCTGTGAGTCAATCAAACTTTATTCGTACTGCATGCTGAACAGAGGTCACCTGAGGTCAGAGTCGCCACAGCTGAGTGACATCAGGAGTTATTAATGACGCGTGCACTCAAACCAGTCAAACCAGTCAAACCAGCACATACACATATATACATATAATAGAATTTAATACGTATGGATGCAAAATAATTACTCACTGAAAAATAACAATAATAAAAAAACACAAATACATTTTAAATATTCAGGTATCGGTTCACTTTATGGTAAAGATCCTCCAACAATACAGATCAGAAATTATATAAACAAGAATAAAATTGGATAAAATAATGAAATAAAATAATTATTAAAAATAAATCGGACAAAATAGTTTCAGGATAAATAAAAGTAGGATCTTAAAAAAGAGAAAAGAAATCAGAAAATAAACACAAAAGGATTGGTTAAAATAGATTAGTTTAAATACAAACAGCAAAAAATATATAAAAATTAAAAATTGAAACCCTATAAAATAAAATTGTAAAGATTCTGAAAACCATACTGTTAGCTCTAACAATCACTCATGATGATAAAGAGGATTTCATTAAACAAGCTGTCTCATCTCTGAGGTGGAGTCTCCTGCACATCGCCGCCGTCTCCTCCCACAGAGGCGGAGCTGATGATGAGATGATGAGAGCCTTTATTTGTCACTTGCAGGTCTTTTGCCCACAACCGAGATGACAGACCTTGCCGACCGTACATACAACACACAAACATCACATTGGGGAGACAGGTCAGGCTAGGTAGCGAGGAAAAAAACATCGAAATGTGTAACACAAAAGGATAATACAGGAATGCACAGATATCAACACACCATAGCACAATAAACACAGACAAGCAACGTGGGAAAGAGTTCCAGTGTGTACATCTGATCTGGGACCGCTGCAATCTTTCGACTGCGCCTCCAACTGACTGCTCAGAGCTGCTGTCACAGTGTCCGTCCTTGTAACGTCCACCTGAACCCGTGCAGCACTCAGACCATCCACATCAGACTGGACCTCGCCGCAGGTCCAGTCTGATGTATCAGCTGTGGACATGTCTGCCTCCTCTTCACTGTCCTGGAGGTCGATGATGCTCAAAGCTCCAAACCTTACACGTGAAAACCTCTCAGCAGAAACCACGACCCCATCGATCGATCCGCATTTGACTGCATCGATTGGCCAGCACTTTGCATGGCCCTGGAGACCGAGCACATCCCACCAAAAGTCATTAAGCTCCTGCAGGAAACGGATCATCGAGCTAAACAGCATCAGTAACGAGCTGTCGACTAAATTCACCATCTGCACTGGAGTCTGCCAGGGCGCCGTCGCCTCACTGCTGCTCTTCAACATCGTAGTCGACGCCATCATGAGGAAAGCCTTCAGGGGCAGACACGGAGTCCAGTTTGATGAAAATGGCACCATGACGGGTCTCATGTTTGCAGATGACAGCAGTGTGCTGGCCGAGGATGACGCCGAAGCCACGGACGCTCTATACAAGCTCACACGCGCCGCTGAGTCAAGCTTGAAGATAAACACTGACAAGATGACAACAGATGGGTCGCCTGCCAACGTCTACCTCAACGGTGTCCAAATAGAGCAGTTCAAACACCTGGACTCACTGATCGAGCAAAGGAAGGTCGGCTCCACGGCAGAGATCCACAGTCGAATAGGTCACGCAACTGCAGCATTCGCTTCCCTAAAGCTTGTGGAAGCGAACCAATCTTTCCATCTCGACCAAAATCCGCCTTTTGCGGACGCTGATCCTCCCGATATTGCTCTATGGATCTGAAACGGGGACGGTGCTCAAAGCGGACCTCAACAAACTCAACGTTTTCCAGATGCGCTGCCTTCGACAGATATTACGAGGATCACTTCGAGACCGCCTTCGAAACGAGGACATCGATAGAGATGCGACAACCAACCGCCAATCGAGGGGCGAATTCAAAAACACTGATTGCGATGGTTTGGCCATGTGTGTCAAATGGATGCGAGCAGACTCCCACATCAACTCCTCCGGCGTAAACGACCCACCCAGTGGAGAATCCACCGAACGGCACCGAAGAAAACTAAAACAGGTCAAAGATGACATCAGGGGCAGAATAAATCTCGACGAGGCCAGGACGATCGCCAACGATCGCCATGCATGGCAACGAGTTGTGAAGGAAATTCAACAACCATTGGCACCCACAGCAGCGTCGATGCAGCGTAGGAGTCGATGCACACCCAACACCAGCTAGGGGTCAAAGAGAAAGATGACCCCGTCACTCTTCAGTTTCATGTAGGAACTATTTTCTCTCTAAAATCGACAAAGAGCAGCAGGCTGAATGTTGACTTCCTGTCATGCTGCCACAGCCATGATGCTTTCATGACGCTGCGGCGGACACGCGTGTGACCTCAGAAAATGTTGCTGTCTTGCTAAAATGTTACTATTCAGCTCAGTTCAGTGATGTTTATACAGCAGCACAGCGACAGTCGCCTCCACGTGTTTCATGTTGTAAAGATCGACAATAACACAAAACGTCACATGAGCCGCGGTGCGACAGCACAACGAAAAACTCCCTTTTAACAGGATGTAACCTCCAGCAGAGCCAGGCTCAGGGAGGGGCGGGGCCATCTGCTGTGACCGGCTGGGAGTAAGTTGAGAAAATTTCATAACAGGCCCCTCCTACTTCCTGTCACTACTCTCTGTGGTCGCTCTGTTGCTGTGATTGGTTGTTAGGGTGGCTGCATGTTTCCATCCAATCCAATCAGTCACCGTGCTGTGATGATGTCACCGTGCTGTGATGATGTCACCGTGCTGTGGATGATGTCACCGTGCTGTGACGATGTCACCGTGCTGTGGATGATGTCACCGTGCTGTGGA